CAGCGAAAGCACGCAAAATGCGAAATAACCAAAAAAGGAGAACAAGTTTACCTTCATATTTGTTTCGCATACGTTTACAACTAAATAAATAAGCAACAAACAAACGGAGAACCACAAACTCGAATGCAAATACCAGCGCAAAATACACACACACACCAACGCACAGTTTGTGCTGGGCGCCCGCAAAAGTATGCAGCAAAAATTTTAAACTCATGACGCAGGCAATTTATATGCACGACAAAAAATATATATAAACCGAATTGAAACCAAACGAATCGCATAGCATCGCCAATGAATTGTATACAGCAAAATCCTCTTGTTACATGGGCTGGTTTACTTAGAAGTTATGAAATTCTTGATACCCTATTACAGCCCCAGTTTTTGGAATAGTTTCTGAAGATCGTTATGAGAATAACTTACAGAATATATAACTTTTTTTGTACATATAATTCTATAATTATATCTATTGTATCTAAAATCAAACTCTTCTATTAAAAATATACTTATTTTAATTAATTTTTTAATATTTAAATTCGAAACTAGCTTATTTTTCACATTATCCCCATGTACACAGATGAAGTGCTTTCTTACTTAATAACAAGTTAAAACTAAAAGGCTAGCCAAATGTGACTTAACCTTCTTCATTTTCTTCTTTAACAAATACCTAAGCTTTTTTTCATTTGTTTATTAATAATTAACCTATAAAATATGAATACGAGTTATCTCCGAGCAGGTACCTTATGAGTCTCCCGCATGTTTGTGTTTGTTTTCATCTCCATGCACTCCATTCAATATTCGAGTGGATATTCCCAAACGGCTGCTGGGCATCCTCGCATGGCAAAAACCCCAAAGAGTTTTAGCAAAATGAAAAATTGAAAAACGCGCTTAAAAATGCGATGATTTTGCGGTCGCCAGCTGAACTGATGCGTATCGGCGGCTTAGACTCTGGACACAAGGCGGCGGCAAAGGGCATAAATCATGGCGTATTTATCATAAATCAAATTGAATTCTCCTCAACAGGCCAACATTGCCGCCTCCATTCCGATTGGGATTGCCGGTTTTGCGGATTTTGAGGGTTCGCCCCGATGTGTTTGCTTGGCGCGCATATTTTATTTATGATTCTTTTCCAGTTGAGTTGCGAATTTGTGTTGTCTCTATCTGACAGCACTTCCGTTTCTGTATCGATTTCTGATTTTTCCTGATTTGTATTGAATTTGTTGTATTTTTTCACCGGATCACTCATTGTTTCTTACAATTTTGAGCTTGGGTGGGAGTCATGGAATGTAAAACAGGTTAACCGACCGACCTGACAGCCTATCGAAAGTGACTACAAGACGACTGACATGGCATTATCAACTCGTTGACGGGGGCAACCGATGGAAACACAGGGAGCCAAGAAGTCCGAATGGTCAAAGTGATAAATGCCTGTGGAAATGGGATCTGAGAGCCACTTTTCCTTGCCGTGACCATTTGCACAAATTACTCGACAATTTTGCGTAGGCACTCTAAAAGCGAATATCTAGCAGTCATCATCTATTAGCTGAACAATAAATTCCCTTCAACATTCAACCATTCGAGTGCTAGACGGCCTCCTTTTTCAAAGGGTCAATGATATGTAAAGGTCAGTGTAGGGTCTAAGAAATCATTCAAGATATTGGATAACAAAGGGAAAGAATACATTTTAAAAATTATTTTGCTTGGAGAGCTGCCAAAAGATAATAATGGCATAAAATCACTTAGCCGCTTAAACAAAAAAACTTATCTGCAGGAGTTTTATTAAAAAATTTGAGGAAAACAGTGCAAAAAATAAATCAGCAGAAAAAAACAGTTCAATTTTGAACAGATATTTATTTATAAAACTACTGATCACAGCTGATATTTTCCAATACATAATTAAGTTAGTTCCATTATGTGAGTTCCATTTAGTTTTATCTGAAATTAATCAAAATTTAACAATTAAAAGTATGCTCATTATGCCCTTCCAGGGTATTATAATTTTAGTCAGAAGCTGAAAACACAGTGAAGGAGTCATTTCCGACCCTATAAATCATATATATTCTTGATCAGCATAAAAAGCCGAATCGATCTAGCAATGTTAAAAAGAAAAAAAAATTGGACAAAATTTTTTCATTTCTTTTGTGTTAAAAATTGTCATTGTCCAGATGTCAAAATTTGACAAAATTTAAATTAACTTTAATTTTAAAACTCAAAATGCAGATTTGTTAATCCTATAAAAACTAGCACAAAACAGCTTCCCGAATTGAAATTAATGAATTTTTGGCTTAGTTATGAGTTTTTTAAATTTCAATTTCAAAATTGTCATATAAATTATAGATAAATGTCAACTCAAAGAAAGGCATTATAATATCAGTCAGAAGCTGAAAACATAGTGAATGAGTCATAGTTCATAGTTCAGATAAAATAATCATTAAGGTAATGTATCCATTATAATTTAATAATTTTGTAAACGCTGTATTATTAATTATTCAAATAAATTTACCTATCGAAACCAAACCAATACCAAGCTGCGGCTGTTTGGCGGTTCTATATTAATCTGTGGTTATTGTATAAATATATCTTGCCAATATTTTTTCACGCACAGTTCACTCTTTAATTTCTTTTCAATTTGTGCAGCTGTTCGAGCACTCTGGTTTCGTTTTGTCGGTTCACTTTCCCGCTTTTTATGGGTAATGGAATCTGAGGGGTATATAAGGCTTACAGCTACAGTTTATTCTTTATAAACCGGGGAATTCTGCAATGATGGTATAAACCATTCGAGCCAAGAAAAGTGGCAGCTACTATTTGGATTTGTGGCACTTTAATTGAACATGGAGCTGCATTAAAAAAACATTTTTTATCGCACTGTGAGGGCTTCTCTGTAGTTGGTGTAGTTACATCTGAAAATAAACAACTTGTTTTATTTTGTTCTAACCCTTTTTGTTTTGTGTTCACCAGCCAGGCAGTTGTTGCTGCTGAGTAATATTTCTGATCGCTGGTGTGTTTAATGAATTTTTGTATTTAATGAATGAACATCGTTTTTCTTGTTTCTTTCTCCTGTGTGTCTGCCTCTGTATTTTTTGTCTGTTATGTTCTGTATTCTGTGTTCTGTGCTCTGGTGCTATCCTCATATATGAATTTTTATTCGCTTCTGTTTTGCCAATTGATTGGAAATATTTCTTTTCATGTTTTTCAATTTGGAAAACCAGAAAACAAGAGTGCGCAGTGGCGGGGAAAACGAATGCCAGAGAGGGGATAGAGCCGCAGTCGTTCTCAAACGAAACGCAAACCCCCTTCCCATAGGAAATCTCGGCAGCAAAGTGCTTTTGAGCGATGGCATATGAGTTCCCAGGTTCGTTTCCCCCCATTTTTGTTTAGACAATAATAATTTTTGCCATTTTATTTCGGTGAGCTGGGGGCGCTCTCGACTCGATTTATGTTCTTTGGCTGCCTGACAGCTAATGTTAGCTTATAAAGCTTTAATTTATTTTGTTTTGATTACTGCATTATTATCATGTACATAAACATGTTGCCGGACTATTGGCTTTTTCTGTTATGATGATTGCTCGAGTGGAACATTCTGAGATTTACTCACTGGATCTGTTATTATTTTGGAATATAAATTAAACTCTGGACGAGTTCACATTGTATTGCCTGGTGCAGGGAGTTTACAGCAAGCTGTTATTGAGGTTTAATCTGTTTTACAGTCAGCACTTTGTTCTCTCAATTTACAGGTACTTCCCCTATTTCTCTCATGTTAAGCATATCAGTCTGAGCGCCATTTTTGAATTTTCTTGGCAGTAGACAACAGGTTAATTGAGATAAGATACAGCAAATAAATAAAATAAAATCAAATTCAAGTAATTTCATTTTTAATCATTTGTTGAAAGCTATGTTTACCATAAATACGCGTTTATTAATGCCAGATTTCAGTGCTTGAACGTTGTGTTATTTGCTTACTTAATTGCAGCCATTTGAGTACAAAAAATTACTTATTTACATACACAGAATAAACGTTTGCCATTATATTCACAGCGCTTTTCGAATCTGAAAGCTTCTGTATAAACAGTGAGTTAATTATTCGCATAAAGTGCATTTTGCAAATAACAAACATTAACTGAGTCAGTCATTACCTGTATTTCCTGAACAAAGGAATATTCTCTTGAGTGCTGAATATTTATGGTTGACTTCTTTACAGTGTTTATTTTATTTATATTTTTAATGAATATTTAAAATTAAATATTTTCTTAAAATTAACTGTTAGGTTTTATTTTTTGATACTCATATAATCTTTAACTCTTTCTCCGCTTCTAAATGGAGTGCCTCTATTATTTTTTTTAGTAACTAGCAAACGATAAGTCCGACATGACAAATATTTAACTATTACTAGTTGTAGTAGAGCAAATATTTGTAAGCTGTCACGCCTGGTATTGCAGTTCTTGACTTTTCCCCGCCAGCTTGTGTTTCATTTTCCCAACGTTCAACGCTCTAGCATGCGAGTTTCCTCTGTTAACTTTTTCCAGCATGCGATTTTCATACTAAGAATTTCACTAGAATTAACAGAACACACTCTCTCTCTCTCTCGGGGAACTTGCTGAATTTCCCCAATTTGCAGACGGAGAGAGCTTGGGAGAGAGAGCTGGAGAGAGGGCCTGTCCGAGAGACCCACTGACACAGTGATAAAGCTGGGCCGGCTGATAACAGAAAGCTGTTGGGGCCCCATGCACAGGTACGAGGCGCTAGGTCCGAGCTCCACGAACGCTCTCTCTCTTCGGGGACTCTCAGTCGGATTCGGAGGTCGGTCGGCAGGTCGGCGGTTCAGTCGCGTTTCCAGTCCATCTTTCACCGTGCTGCGAACAGGCGGACGGACGTGGTCTCCAATTCAATCGTCGGGCCGCCGCAGTTTCAACGCGCTCGGATTTAGATTCAGATTCAGATTCACACTCAGATTCAGATTCGGAATTCACCAGCCTACCGCAAATATTTTAAATAATTTAAATTCTATTAAAAAAAATATTAATAATAATACTATCCAAAGTTCCGATTCGAATGTGCGTGGCTAAAATAAATAAATAGTGCAAATATTTTCAGGAATTACTCAAATGAAAATACCATCAGCAAGAAGCAAAAATTAATGCTTGTGCCACTTGAATGAAAAAAGTTCAATGCCATTAGTGTGTGCAAAACAAAAAATATCTATATATATGAATAAATGTTAGCAAATATCCGAAAATATTTGCAGATAGCCATATGAATGGAAAAGTGCTCGAGAGTAAATAGGCCGAAAGTCGAAACATATCCACCGACTGAAAATCAAAAATCTTGGACAAACTTGTGCAGTTCTCGTTTTCCCAACGCTTTTCGAGTGCTATTATTAAAGTAATTTGTGCGACACTTGCCACCTGTTCGACAACTTTTGGAAAATACACACAGCACACACACAACACACACTCAATTTATGCAAACGACTTCGAGAAGAAAGCCGATCCGATCCCCAAAATAAAAACCGAGAGTGAGAGTGTCGAGAGGAGTCGTTGACCCAACGTGTAAGTCTTTGCATCCATATTATATTCTGGACTTACTCAACCCCTCAGTTTAGGACTGAACCCACGAATTTAACACCTTAACACACCGATCTTTGTTATCGCAAAGTGTTTGTCCGGGATTTAAATATAGATTTATGGCAGGCAAACATTAATTGGATTACTCGGGCAATCTTGGGGTATTGTGGATGAAGATTGACCTAGACCAAGGGGAAATAAATAGTCGAGAAAAGTGACATTTGTGTTGGGTGTCAAATTTAAGATAGAATTTATATCGCGATATAGTAAGCCGTTGATCACAAGGAGTAGGTGTTAAAAAAGATGAAAGTGATATGGTTTTTCGACTCTAAAATGTGGATTGATTCTAGTTTATCACTATGTTTTAAATGAATTAATCTCTCCCATAAAAATGTGTCACAGTCTCCTCCTCTGGCTAAACTATTTCCGGTGACATTTTAATAATTGTAAAACTCAAATATAAAATGTAATTACTCTAAACAAACAAACACAATTTTGTCCTCAAGTGTAGTTTGTTTTGACTTTGTTTATTTGGAAAATATTGCGCCATACCCCTTTACTATTTTCCACCTTTTTTTTTGGAGAGCCCTCGTCAGAGGTGCTTGAGAACTGTGAAAGCTCTCAGAGACGATTAAGTAGCTACTGATATGCACAAAACACTTTAGCCGGGGGCATGGCTAATCAAATTACAAAGTCATATGCCGCTTGATTTAATAACTCGGGTACGGTTAGGGTATACATATTTCCTAGCATGTGCCATGATGCCGCAGATGCTACCGTTTTCAGTGCTACTGCTGCTGTTCCTGCTGCTGGGCAAATGCAGCAGTTTTATCTTTAAAGTTCGTCCAAATTACCTCCAAGGGAGGCGCACAGATGTGCACCCAACGTGCGGGTGCGGCTTTGTGTATAAATTTACACTTAACTGCAAAACAACAGGCTTAATTGCCCGAAACCAAATAAAACTCAGCATGCCAGTGGATTTGGCCGAGTGGTTACAGGAAGAGGCTGTGCCGGGACAGAGTTTTTGTGGACCATTTCGGGTACCGAGTAAATGAGGGTAGTTTGAACTAAAGGATATTCTAATTTGATAAATTTAAGAATTCAAATTTTAGTTACATCACTGAAGTGATTACGTTTCTTACATCTGCTATTGTTTTTCTAATTACATCTCTGTGGGTCAAGCTTCTTTACAAAAGATTTCCATTCATAAAGAATACAATTTTCAGTCTTTCAGAGTGGCTAAAAATAAACAAGTTGTAACAAGACAAGTAAATGAAATGTACTGAGTACCTTCCGGTCGACAATAAACTCAGACGAAGCACTTGTAATTGTTTGAAATTATTCCATAGGAATTGCAGCAAATGCCGCACGCATCCTTGAACATGAAAAATGCGAGTGGCCAGAGAGCAAGCGGGAGAGTGAGAGCGAGTCCTGCCAAAAAGATGGCAAGACGGGACAATTCATGTGGGCACTTACACTAATTACAACGCCCGCACCGCTCGTCATTTAAAGCGCTGCCAAAAGCGGCTCTGAGTCACGGCCATGTGTTCCGCACGTGTGTGCTTTAAGTTTTAAGGCGGTGACGCCTTAACAACAATATATTCTCTTCGAATCTGACACAGTTTTCCAACTGCCAACTGCTGCTCCTGCAGCTCTTTCATCTATTGTAAATTGAGTCTCGGCAGCGTGGCAAAAGAAAGGAGACAGATACGGACAATGGGTCGTATGCGTAATACGCTTGACAGTTTTCCGTCTCCGTTTGTCTCCCATCTACCACTAACACACACACACAGAAAGAAAATGGCTCTGAAAGAAAATGTAATAATTGATTAACAAGGAGATTCTTTGATGTTTTGTTATTAATTTTATGAATTGAATGTTTTAAATAGGAGGAAGAACTGAAGAGATAAGGCATTGAGTACATTTTATTTATTTATTGGCAAGACTTTAAGACGGTTATTAATAGGCTGTTAGGTTATTTTAAATATTACTTTTCTTTTCGAGTTTCTTTTTCTCAAATCTGGAAATTGATATCATTTTCTAACTTTTCTCTGTGCAGGAATGCCAGTGAGTTGCATTGTTTGTTAGACTTTTGCTTACACGCTAGGATTGCTGCGGCATTGGAATGAACAAACGGAACGCTCAAATCAAAGGCGACAACCCGCAACAATGGAGCTGAAAATGCCAGCAGGCATTGCGGAAATATAAAGTAAACTATTGTTTCGTCAGGATTGCGTCAGTGTTCTGTGCTATGTTGTGTTTGGGGCTTCCTAGACTCTCTAGGAATAATATTGCGCATACGCCGCGTAGCCGCTACTCACCTTTTGCGACAAGCCGCTGTAAGCGCTAATAAGCTTTTAATTAATTAATAATTAATCACTACCCACAGTCTAGCTCATCATCGGGTGGTAGGCGGCCGAGAGGTCAGTGGGTTTGTCATTCTGCCATTGTCTGGAAGCGAGCCCCTTATCGTAATGGACGAAAAGTTCTAATCGAGGCAATTAACGTGGCCAAATTTAATTTCCGTCCCCGTCGCTATCAGACACAAGGCAGAATAAAAAATATATATATATAACAAAAACAAGAAGAAGACAAAGCGAAGCGCCTGCTTTTTATTTACAAAATATTAGTTAAGGCCCGCCATTGGGAAATCCATCATGTAAGCCCGGGATTTCTCGGTTGCATGTGTTTCTGTTTGTTCCTCGCCTTACTGTTTGCTTGCTCTAGGGATGAACATTCTCTATGAATTGATAAAATATTTAGCTTTTGAATAACATAAATAATATAGAAACTAAATGTGAAAAGTGTATTGTGATGTATGGATTTACTGGTATATTTGTTCTATTTTATATTTTACATTATTGAAAATATTTAAAAATTCGAATGCAAACAACTCACATCTAGTTCAGTTTATCCTTTTGAAGGATACATTATGTACACTCTTATATCTCAATAAATATTGTTATTGAATATATCGAAACCTGGGTACCATCCCTATTCTGTCTATTCCTCTATTTGTTTGCCTTTCTCCTCATTCTTTAGGCCTGATAAACGAGACCTGCTCCTCAGGTAATTTTTGTTTGGGGAGGAGATTGAGGAGTTTCGGGCCTTTGCCTTTGACTGGCCATTAAGCAAATTACTTATGTTAATTAGTTGCCAAGGCTAATGAGATATCGCAAGGATTTGCAGTCCGTGATAAGTCAAATTTAAAAGCAAAGTAAGAGCAAAAAGGAGAGCCTTTCCCTGATTATCCACCTTCCGCTCCAATTTAGCCCTGTTGAGTTATGATGCGGAATTTAGCGGAGCACAATCTCGACTTGAAAGCAATCTAACAGTGCTCCGGGCCTCGCCATACAATGGGAATTCAATTTTCCTCCCTTACTCCCTGTGCTCTCTGTGAGTCCTTGATTCATCAAATTGCATTTATTTGCCAGATGAATGAACTGCAACAATGCGGAGATGCAACAGTTTGCTGAAATACAAGAAATGCGTTCGGAAAATTGTATAAATAAATAATTCCGAGTAATAATTGAGAGGCAAGGCAACTGCTGAAGGAGGCAAATCATTCAAATTGTCCTTGGAAGAGGCAAACCAATTTCGATATACAATTTGGTTCAATTGGTCAAGAGAAGTCAAATAAATTTCATGGATTGTAGCCCTAGGTTTACACTGAACCATTTGCCATGAAAATCCATTATACAATAATGACATTATTTGTCCCATCTCATTTACGTTTAATCGTTGGTACTTATTAAAATCCCTTTTAAATCAATTTAATCTCATGCAGATGTTTGCATTAAAATTAAAACGCATTGATAGATTTGCTAGCCTTAAGCCGTAAAATAATTAAAAACGTAATTAGCTTCATGCAATACTCAGGCATTAATGTATTCAAAATGCCTGCAGCCTGCAGGATCGAAGGAAGGGGCAACTTTCCGAAAGGGTTTCAGGTCAGTGCGCTGGTTGGGAATAATTTCATTAAAATCAACTTTGGTTGCACACGCCTGCGGTCGGCGGACAGAAGATTAATTACTGACTTTATTTTGACTGGACTCTGCTGGAATGTTACACCGACTGGACTCTATAATTCTGTATTGACACATAATCAATAGTTCTGTTCTCCGGAAAAAAAACTAATTAAGCCACCATGAATGCGAAAAAATGAATTCAATTGCAGCGTTAATAGTAATAATAACTGCCATTAACTCCAGTGCACAATTTATCTTAATTTTGGGCATAATTAATGCTTGCAATTATGTTGGGTTTCGTTGGATGTCGTTGCCTTTTTGCTTTATTTTCCACCTTGACAAAGCCCCACATTCTGCTATATATACACGCCGCACTAGGAGACGTAAACAATCCACTTAACATGCTCGGAAATACCATTTGATCCTGCCATCCATCTCCTGGGCATTACGTATACGCAGCGTGGGTCGCACGGAGCCTTTGGCAAGAGTGTGTCACGCACATTATTGATAGGCCAACTCAATCGCCTCGGCTTCAGTTACACAGGACTCTCTCGATTACAGCTTCCAGGCTCCAGACTCTGTATTCGGGACTCCCGCCCTCGGATTTTGGGTTCTTGTAGCATCTGGGCAATTACGGCTCGGCTCGGTCTCTGTTTATTAAAACGACATAATTGCGAATTGAGGCCCGCAGCTCTTCGCTGTCTTGACTGCTTCAATCAACTGGATCATCAGTGGTTTGCTGCTTTTGGCACTCTTATCGTTAACCATCAGCTACATACTTTCCCTTTTGTAAAACTTTTTCCCCGGGAATTGACCGGGGAAAATTTGCATAAGAAGCAAAGAACTTTGGCCTCCCTGGAAAGTATATTTATGTATATATTGTAGGTTTGTTGTTTGCACACCGCGCTCTCTTCAATTATGATTAATGACCTGTAATTAAAGCCATGAAAGCGACCTTTGTCGGATACACAAATTGATTAGAGATGGACACGTGAGTGACGGCCGAGATTAGAAGCT